AGCAGCAACTGCCGGACTCGATCCTCGAACATGGTATCCCAGGGTGCCGATTTCAAGAGCTCCTCGAAATCAGCCTGAAGCCAGCGTTTCCGGACCTGATCCGCCTCCTCCACGCGAGCGAGATTCGGAGTGTAGTCAGGGAACCCGGCCGTTTGCTCGACCGCGTCGGCCGTTCCAGGTGGGAACTTCATCAGCAGCCCATAGTGACGCCAAGAGACGACACCACGACCCGGAACTTCGACGACCCTGAGCTCCTCCGGAGTCAGTTTCGCGTACTTCTTCCGGGCGAGAGCAGACTGCTTGCGTTCCTGAGAAGGACGGGACCTCTTGTGTTCAGGCTCCCCAGAGTCACTGCCGCCCGAAGACTTTCCCGACGCTCCGGATTCTGAGTCGCGCTTATGTTTGGCGCCCCGAGGCGGAGTCGCCCGGCGACCGGAACCGCTCTGAGACTTGCCACTCGGACTGCTATCTTGAAAGTCCGCGTCCCGCTCATCATCGTCCTCGCTCGAGATGTCCTCGTAGAGCGCCATCTGGATCTCAGCTTCATCTTCCAGACGAACCTTCTTTAACTTGGGCCAACGCTCCGGAATTTCGTCCGTCGACTCGATGAGCGCCTCCGCGCTTTTGAAGTACCACGTTGGTACGTACTTGGTCCACGGAGTCTGATCGAGCTTGCCCCAGTACATCATCCGGACCAACATTTCAGTTAAAGCCCGCGATGTGATCCTGGTGTGCACCTCGTTGTCCCCGCTGACCAGGTCCAGAGCGTCCTGATAGGCAAGTCCGGAAAGCATGACCTGCTGCAGGTCCGAACGTTGCTTGGACCAGACTACCGGGAGACCTTCCAGAGACTCGCGTACCTGAGTGACGGTCCGGAGTGGCCGCTTGGTGGCATCCAGAGCGTCATGATCATTCGGCGTGTACGCCGAGGGGCGAAGCTGAACCGGACCTTGAGATCGAGACTTGCCCGACGCCTTGGGTTTCTTGGGCGTCTGCTGCGGACTTGACGAATCGTGCGAGATATCCAGAGGCTTGTTCTTGCCGCCGTCACGGTTTCCAGACCTGTCATCCTCCTTGGAGTCGCCGTCGTCTGGACTGCCCTCGTCTTCGAAGGTGTAAGGTCCAAATTGTGCTCCGAAGTCATCAATTGCGTTGACCAGGATCTGAGTTTTCCAGCCACTCGGAGGCATCTTGGAGTCCTTGGCGTGTTCCAACAGCGCCTTCAGGCGAGGCCAGTTGCCGTCGACTCGAGTGCCATGACGGTTCAAGAAGTTCATCGTCCGGGCCACATTCAGGGACCCCGCCGAGAGCCTGTTCTCGAGAC